CATCCGTCCGGACGCCCCCCCCCACAGAAGCCACCCGCGCAGAAGCCCCCCCAGCTCCCCACCTTCCCTAGCAGGGTTGGGGGTAGGGGGATGCCCTGCACACCCACTGGCTAGCATCATGGGACACTTGGCTCAGGAGTAAGTATGGCACCAGACAGTCAACGCCAAAGCCACCTTCATGTCGAAACCGCCAGCCCAGGCAGGCGGTGGACCAGGGCAATGGCTCTGGGGCACGCCTGGGACAGGAGTGTTCAAAGTCCCACAGTCACGCAGAGGGCCACCAGGAAGGCGGGCTCTCTTGGCTGTGACAGGGGTCACGGGGGCACACGAGTTTGTCCAAACTCCTCAAACCACATCTAAAATGGTGCCTCAGTGAAGGCGACTTAAGACGAGCAAAAGCAAAAACCTCATGTCCCAGGGCCCAGCGGCCCTGCTCCCACCAGGTGGACCGGCCCAGCGGTCAGGAGCAAGGATCCCAGCACCCGGCTCGACCCTTACCGGCTCTGGCTCTGGTTCCGGCTGGGGCTCCTGGCCAGGCCTCGACTTCTTTGGCTCAGAGGGGCCTCCGGGGCTGGAGAAGGACTTTGGCAGTTTGGCGGAAGGTGACACCAGGCACCTCGCAGACCCAGAGGGGCCCCCCAGGCGCTGCCCGCCCCCAGAGAAAGGCACAAAGGGGGCAGGCCTGGGCTCCTTTGAGATCGGCTCTGCCCGGGCGTCTGCAGGCTCCGGGCCCAGGCCATCCACGCGGCCGGCCCCCGAGGGGCCCGCTCCATGCTGTCGGCTCACATCGCCCTGGCTGAGCCCCGAGGAGCTCAGTGGGAGCAGAGGGCAGCCAGCGGCCGGCTCCGCCGGCAATGAGGGGGCCGGGCTCCCTGGGTTTTTGCTCCAGGAGGCCCCAGGCTCCTGCTGCGCGGCTGAGTCACATCGCCTCGTGGCAACTCTGAGGGGGCCAGAAAGAGGGAACACCGTACACGGGTCTCAGCGCTGCGTTACCACCCGAATCCAGTCCCCTGCAGGTCCTCATGCCCCTCCCCGTCCTACCTTGCCTGAGGGGAGTGCGTGTCCGCCCCCGCAGAGGGCAGAGGCCTGCCTGACATGCCAACTCTGTCCCTCCCCGCAGGCAGGAGAACCCCAGGCAGTGGCCTCGGGGCAAGGGGCGAGGGCCATGGGGCTCGTGTTCTCTTCCACGTTCCCATGCCCCCCGTTTTCTTTCCTTTGAGGCCCCATTTCTCTCACCACTCAAAGACCAGAGGCCCCACCTGATGATGGCGCTGCCCCCAGTGAGGCCCAGCGACTGCAGCGTCGTGCTCTGCAAGGCGGCTCTGCCGGTCACCTTAAAGGAGGGACAGGACAGGTGTGCCAGGATGTTCGCCGGCCCCGCGCTGACAAAGGCCCCTCGCTGGCTGGGGGAGAGGACCACGGGCCCTGCCGCCACCCCCAGCCTGGGCGCCCACGGCGCCAGCACCACGGGTCCCCCAGCCAGCACCGGCTCACTGGCCCAGGTCTGTCCCGTGGCCCCGCCCTGTCCAAGGCCTGGGCAGGCAGGGTGCGGGCCTGGGTCAACCACATGGCCGGCTGACCAGCCCTCTGAGGCTGGACTGACCACGATGGCCCCAACCGGGACCCAGGTGCCTGAGGCCCAGTGGCCCGTCTCCGCTGGGGGAGGATGTGCCCCCCAGGTCCCTCCTGCACAACCCGGGAACCCCTGCACCTCACAACCGTGATGGGAGTGTCCCGGAGCCCCTTAGGGACAATGGCCACCCTGGGCCAGGAAAGGGCATTCGGTCAGAGTCAAAACAAAAAGGCCCTGTGAGCTGGGGCACCAAGTGCCAGGAGGGTCCCCGTCATGGGCGGGGGTGGGGACAGGCAGGGCCTCGGCCAGGCTGGGCCCGCACCATGCTGCACTCGGTTTTGAGAAAGATCAAAACACGGAGCAAAGCAAATATTTATTAAAGCGAACCG